TACACTTCGCACCAACACGCGCAGCCTACTATGATTAGACTTTCATAGTAGGCATGTGAAACGTACATACACCCACGGAGCAACTCACGCACTCTGGTTGTAATCCAGATCCACCCAATCGTAGCCTGCTTGGTTCTCTTATTTTATTAGCAACGCGCGAAAAGTGAAGTAAATACCATAAAATCCACGCCAAGTCATCGAGCCGAATCGGGAAAAAGGTTCCGGCCAACTGCTATAAAACAACAAAAAAATCCCTAAGTAAACAAAATAAAAATCACTTGAATGTCATAATAATAAAACAATATTTTTCTTCATTTTATTAGGAGCACCCGTTTTGCGGACTCCGTTGACTGAAGATTTATTAGGGAAAATACGAAACCAAAAGATGGGGATATGACGACAGACGAATAAAGCAAAATTGTCAACCAAAATTTTGGGTAATCACTGGAAATCAGTGCAAATGTTGTGTACATTAACAAGTTTATTGACACAGATGGCGAAACGTTTTTTTTTTTCCTTTTACGGTGTCTCCCGTTCATGGTGCGTAGCCTAAGTTGACTCTAATGGGTCGTAAAAATCGCACATACGGATTAAGGAGGCGCTCCAAGTGGTTGCAACATATATTAATGGAAGGGAGAGATTACAAACACTCTCTGCACTGTTTGTTTGATCAATATACGCATACGAAAGGAAATGTGTCTGTGTGAATCCTTACCGCGGTGAAATAAAACGCTAAATAAACAAATTATGCTGCCTATTGGTGCTATTCGTCAAGTTTGACACGAAGCTTACAAGGTACCTTGTTCACTAGGTTTGCTTGGAGAATTTCTCGTTATGTCGTTGTCGACACGTCTCATTTCCACAGCCTACTATGTGTGGCACCATTTGGCCCCAGTCCCAAGCCGGATTCAGTTTCAATATGGGTGCTGCTAAGCCGCCTTTGTACCCACTATTTGGCGTGTCCTGCTTTGTTAGCTTAGATGGTTACAAAATCAACACATTTTAGCACTCTACGTCTCTACCTGAGGTCGCAGTACGCGGAAGATCACCCAAAGTCCTGTCGGTGCTTTTCGTTTTCAAAGGTCTCAACATCAAATCAATATTTATTGTATGCATAGATCGTGTTTACATATCAACATAGGTTTTTCGCTTCAACACATATTCAAGTTCCATTTCTCAGCTATGTGAAGGGTTGTTTCAACTCTGTTGTCAACATGAAGCATCAACCACACACTTTGGCATCTGAGTGCTTCTTATCGCTTTGTACGATGTAAACTCTACCTTTATGAGGTCAAGGTATCAAGATTTCAAGATTTGTGTACTCCTTCTCCTCTCCGCTCAGTTGTTCTTTCGTTTTAGTGTCAACTTTCATCGTGAGAGACATGCTGCAGCGGCGAAATCTTTTTGATCTTCTTACTTTCATCGATTCCAGGTCTCGATTTGATCAAGCCGGGGATCGTTTTGAATAAATAAAAACTGAAAAACAAGATTTTTATTGAAAATAGCCATTTGTCGATTTTATTTACTCCTTCTCCTGTTCTCTGAGGGTTTATACGGCGTTTCAGGAAAAAAGATCTCTCCACGCTCCATGCTGCTGATGTGAGGTTCAAGGAACGACACTTTGGTTAAACGACAGATAAAATATGAATACAACACGACCTAGTGCTTATGAATGTGGCTTCAGTTTGGGTGCCGCGGGGTGCCTTGTCAACATCAAGCTCCATGGCACGGTGAACTTTTTGTGAAATTCTAGACGCCGCGTCAGTTGTCGAGCCCGGACCACGAGAAAGCCACGATGTCTATCAATTAACAAACGAAGAGGTTAATACGAAAATCATCTGGTTAATTTTTAATGTTTCTCTACCATTTTGCCGCCACTCGACTCGACCCAACCAACGAATGGAAGGCAGGTCCAATTTGGAAGCAATTGAAAATTTATTGACTCGAAATTGGATTAAGCTCCTCCGCTCGTATACAATTGTTCATAATTCATGGCTTGTCGCGCGACTTGCTTTAAAACTGTCACCACCATTGCATTGCAGTGGAACAGCAGTTCTGATGGTGCCATCATTGTCTCTCGTCTCGCCGCTTTCTGTCATAATCGACAGCTCGTGTCAGCCATGTTGTCGCCTGTTCCCATCAATGTTAATTTAAACTATTAGAGAACTTATAAATAAATGGATGCTCTGCTTGTGGTTCCGTTGAGCTAATTTCACCAAAAACTGTTGCTTTATGTCCTCAGCGAGTAAGTATTGTGACCATTTTAATACGAACATTTTACACCGTTGATCACGATGTCACCCTGCATGTTGTGCATTAGTTGTCTGTTGAACAAGACATGCTAATCAGCTTATGCAGCCCGGAACCGGCAACCGAAAAGCAAAAGTCGCACATTTCATAAAATTATCAATTTTCACCAAACGCCCTTTCCTTAATTCCCTTCTTGCTAAGCACCCGTAGAGGCGCGTATTTGATGACAGTGTCATTCTCTTCCTCCCCACAGCAACCCACCCATGGTAGCGTAGAACCAAGTCGACCAGTGATGGATGGCACCCAGTGTGACATCGAAGCTCACAAGAATGGGTCTCAAAAGGCAACCGAATTCACCAACACTCACAAAATACTCGGTGCAGTAGACCTCGATTTATGTTTTGTTCAACATCCTCAGACAACCGTTTTTTACCCATTCCGTGCCAAGTTCCGATGGTAGTAGGCTTGCACCAAATAGCGCTGACTCTACACGTTGTATGGATTTAAAAATTTTGTTTATACCATGAAATAATATGATAATCGGATTACGCTTTACATTTTATGTTCCGCCACTACTATGCATTTCCCCTTTCCTCATTGGAGTGATTCCCTCCCGATATGCAGTCAGTCATTTTGAAACACCGTGCCTAGTTCAGTTCAGTTTGAAATTTGGCTGCATGTCAACCATTGAACAAAGGACCCTTTTTTGTATGACCATCCCTAAGTCGATAAATTGCAAGCTGTTTAGTATTGGACGGTGTCATCCAGCTGTGTGGCATCCGGCAATTTGAAGCGACTCCTTGAGTCACCAAACTAACTCAATCATTTTGTTATCAGTGTCGCACTGGCCGTGTAACCGAGAAACATCGATCGGTGACAATGGTAGGAATTTGTTACACTCACATGGTATTTGATGTTCGCAGGGCTTGTCCAAACAACCAACGCTGAAATCGTAAGCACAGCACTTGAAATAGGTACTACAAGGAGCTGCAAGCTTCTCTATTTTCCACCCATGTTTTTATTTTGCTGCAAACAACAAGCAAAGTAAGCCTTTATCAGTAGATTGTCTTTAAATTAGATAGCTGTCGGAATAGTCGAAACATGTCGGAATGATAGATCGAAACGGCAGTTGGCCAAGTGTTTGATGTGATGCGCACTGATTTCTCACTCGATGCATGGTTCGTTGATGGCTTGGCAAATATTTGATAATCACTGATAAAAAGGAGTACAGCGCCCGTGTAAATATATACCCGAATGTATGTTCACGAGCTTACCGTTGCCCGTAAATTTACCCCAAGTGTTGGTACTCGCGTGAACATACTGGCAAACCATTATAGACTGACTACCATAGAGCGGTAGAGCGTAACATTATAGAGAGCTGATAACAAAATTCTAATGATGTTTTAAATGATGATAATATTATTCTATCTAATACCCGTGTGCGTACGAACACGGGCACTGCGGAACGTAATAGTACTTGTCACAAAACATGCGGTTGCGGAGCAACGGTTTGCCTACAAATTTCAATCACTAAGCTTGGTGTCAACGCCTACTGGGCTGCTGCTGCTGGTGTCGCTCGTGGTGCGTTGTGTGACCCGTTAATACCAGTCGGACTCATGTCATACACATCGGCAGCCTTATCTCTGCAAGCTGTGACATTTGCATCCCGAGTAATCGTGATAGGAAGCTTTGCGCAGCTCTTAATGCTGACCCACTAGTGGTGCCATTAGGTTGGTACAATAAACCCGAAATGGAGTGTTGCTTATTTTCAACGCACGTTTCAAAATCTTGAAATAAAGTTTGTTCATGCCCTACATTATTTAAAAGATTTTCGAGCATGGAAAAAAAAAAATTTATTTATTTGCTCCAAATTAACCACCCTACGCAAAGTGTTTCGTATTCAATCCAATGTTTGTTATTCGATTAAATTGATCTATTCCCTTGCAAAGCTGATTTATTAAGTAAATATTGATAAATAACGCCTTATTATTTGCCCAGCAATCGGGTGACATTTTCAGTCAGCATTTGCTTGTAGAATACTGACTGATCGATAGTAGCATTGGTTATCTATATCACTGTGGGAGCAAACGTACTTCGAGCAAGCAAAAAAAAACGCAAAGAAATTATGGTTCCACGGATTGTCATAAGAATTTAATTTTCAGCTCAAGGGTTCCTTCGATCACGTACACTGTTCCAAGCTCCTCAAAGTACTCTCGTTCCTTCCAGCGTAAACCAACGCGCTAAAGAATGTGAACCAGAGTGTACACATCAGCGCGTTCGCTGAGTCGGAAAATATGTCCGATAACAGCGCAAGTCATGTCAGAACAAAGTGAAGCAAAACGCCACAGACGCCTGACATGATAGTGACATTTAAATGCATTTCTCGTAATTAATAAAACGCCGTCTCACCCGCTCAAGAGATATACGGTGGAAAATATGCCAAGTACAAGACGATTGGGATTTAATGTTCTCCTTCTTTAGCTTCGCAAATCGTGCTACCAATACCGACTGCACTCACTCGTCCATCATTTCACCATGTGAGTGCGTTTCGCAAGTGAATAATTTCCACTTGATTTGCTCGTCTCCCACCTGCCACGTAGAACATGGTGTTGTGTCACGAACAACCCGTCAGCTTTTCAACTTAATGCACTTAACTGTTTCGTTGGCAATGAGGGAATTTTACTAATTTTAACTATTTCGTAATTTGCTTCCAAATGTAAAACCAGATATTTGTTTTTTATCCATTCCAGAGTACTACACCATCCGCACCTTCAGCGCCATCATCACCACCCGCAGCTCCAGTGGCAATGGCAGTTACGACGACAGTGCCTCCAGGAGCCCGCAGCACATCTCCATGTTCAGCGACTTCCGGTCCTCCTACGTCTGGTAGTGGGCGATGCTGTGATACTGGTAGACCAATCTTTACCGATCCCATCTCGGGTCAAACGGTGTGTTCGTGTCAGTATGATCTGATTAACTATCAACGGTTAGCTAGTGCTGGAATCGCTGGCCCCGGTGGTGTTCCTCTTTCAATGTACAGTGCGCCATACAGTCCTGAAACGATGGCTGCATACTTTCCTGCGATAGGAGCCGATCAGGCGCCATTCTACGCAAACCCCGCCGTAAGTATCAATTCTCCTCACTAGCAATATTGTTTAATTGAGCCATCCAACTTCTGATCACGCTGTCTTTATATGCAAATGACGAATCTTGAATGCCCTTAATTCTCCCATTCTACCAATCCTTCGAAAACCCCAAAAGAGTTATTTCCATGCTCCGGAGCTATTCACCCTAACACCACACCGAAAACATATGAGATAGTGTCGTTTTGGGGCTTCATTTTTCACAATTCACTCGCTTGGTTGCAAACATTTTCCACAGGATCCCCCACCAAACCGACATGATTTCTAGTTTTTGTATCCTGTGTGCGTTATCAAAAATGTAACATACCACATGGGATGTTAACATTGTGGAAACACAGTAAATGAATCAAAACGGATGCTCCCCGTTAGCACCGGCCATGTTTGGATTCTCTCCCTGGCCCATTCCAGGCGCGACGTCACTTCGTCTTGCCGAGAGCGAGGACAAAGAGAAAACATTGTGTCTACATCGGTTCAACACAGTTCTATCGGACTGACCACATCTCACTTGGTCTCGGGATTACCCACTCACACAAACATACTACGGACTACATGGTTTGCTATCACTGCGCTGGCCGTTGCACAGTAGTCGAATGCCGGCCAAAACCTACAAAATCAACTTCATTTTTTATTGTTCTGCATATTTTTAAAGAAAATATTTAAAAAAAGATACATTTGAAGCAATGTGGACCAATGTAATATTACTGATTTTTCAAAGTTGAGTAAATTAGATTACAATGCAATGCAAATATGTATGTAGTTTCAAAATTAATTATCGCGAGCATTAACAATATTGCGGAAAGTATCTGGGATGGTAATGAAACTATCACATACTTTTATTCGTTAGTAAAAATACTTTCAAGTAAAGTATTTGGCTGTTTTAACGAAAATGTTTATTGATAAACTTACTGTATCCAACAACTGGAAAAAAATCTATGACTAATTTTAGATTTTTTAGTTTGTACTAGTTGTTATTTTCCCTTATAACAAATTGACATCAAAAAGCACCACCAGACATTTGGCTCAGAAGTGCATAGAAGACGACCATAATGATTTTGAATTAGATTTAGAACTTGATATATAAAGGAAAACATAGGTTTTCATTTAACATCAGAATGAAGGGAATGCATCAAATGTTATTCAAATATAATTTTTAGCTTTTCATAAAAGAATAATGATAAGAAGAAAATATTACGATTTTAAGCCGATAAACATAGATTTAGGGTTTTGGCCGAGTTTTGCATGTAGACCTATCACTGTGCGTTGGGGACAGTTGTCGAAAAAAAGAGAGCACCGGAAAACTTTCATCTGGAGAACAGCACATGTCTGGCGCTATCATATAGTCCTTAAAACTCTCGCTATTCAGACATTCTGATAACATATGAAGCTCGTATTCACGCGCGATGACCACAGAAAAATTACGCGAAACGACCAGCAGAAACTGAACAAACGGAACATGTTCATATAGATGTCATACACAGGAGCTGATAATTTTTCCAGTGAGCTGGTCAGTCGTCAGAAGCATGAATTTTAAATTAAAAATGATAGTTTTCGATTCCAGTTGGAAGCCATTTTTTGTGCGCTTTCCGAGCGATTCTCAATTCCACGGCGCAGTTGTGTGGTCAAAGACTTTTTTGTGTCGGCAGAAAGGGTGTCGTTTTTTTTTCTCCCGAATCTCCCTCGTCCGAACATAGAAGTTTCGTCATCATAGCAAGCTCCAGCAGATACGAAAAAGAGTCGAGGGAGCCATCGAAAAAATTAAATCTGAAATGAACATGAACAAGTATCAGCTTAAGCTCTCGTTCGAGCTACTAGATGGCGATGCATAGGGTGGGTCCGGGTGCTTCAAACAACAGAACAGGTATCATTTTTATTATGAACACTTCGAACCTCCCACGGATTCAAGCGGTCAAAGTCAGACCGGGTTGCTGTGCACAGGAGGAGAATAAAAATATTATAATAAAAATTTATGAATTTGTGTTCTCCACCGTGTTCTCTTCTATTTCTGGATTTTTTTCTTTTTCAAATTTAAATCGAACGAAAATCGTGCCATATATATAATATCCCATCATCATTCGGTGATTGAATCAATAAAGTAAATTATCATCTATTAGCATAAATAATGTCTTAATTTAATAAAATATGATGTTTATTTGTTTATTAGTTATGCTGAGTAAGGCTCTCTCCCGTTTCTGTTTTCGTCTTCGAGCTTCGCTCACATGTGGGGGCTTGTCTGGAGACCAAATTTATGAATATCTGCTCGTAAGTTCATGTTTAAACTCAATCCGTTCGATTGTTTATTGTTGTTGTCGAATTGACAATTTTCTGCTTAACGGAAATCGTTTCGCTTGTCATTCCCGACTTTGGTCGAGGCCATTCACATGATTTCTTTTCCCCTGCGAAGAAGTTGGCACTTTAATTCTTCATAACGCACCGAGCAGCACAGTCCTGGGCTGGTATTGAATTCCATTCACACTTCTTCAGTCGAGAAATCACAGCAGGCCTGGCCCGGGGCAGTTGTCGAGTATGCTCAGCAGGCCAGATGATTCGATTCGATTGTTATTGTTCAAAGTTTCTTTCGTTTCTTGTGGTCCTGCTTTCGGGTATTGACATTCAAATTCACCCATTCACTCGAGGACTTACGGGCAGAGGAAAAATCTGGACAATATCATCATTTCATTTCGTGTTAATAAACTGCATGATTACTATAAATATTTGACGTTTTGTTTACTTTTGTCCTCCGCATTGGTTTGGCCAGGGAAGATGGACCGGGCGCTGCTGGTTGTTGCACGCTGATCAATGGACGCGATTCAGACAAGTTCATTCAAAATTTTGCTCTGTGACGAGAAGTGTGTGTTCTGAGTGGTGCAGACTCGATCACTTTCAGCTTTCAAATCAATTTTCTTGAAAAATATTAACTTTCTTGCCCTTGTTTACATGCTCTCCCAACCGCTCACAAGTAGGCACCTTTTTTCCAGAGCAAACATTAAAACTTATGTCGTTTTCGTTATTGCGGTGTTGCACCGGTGTAGTGTAAGCAGGAATAAGCGCGAGTCTTTGACAGCTCAAAATCATTTGTTTGTAAACAAAGGGGCATCCTATATCTACACCCTAAATTATTACGGTGTACGGCAGTGTAGCACACCGCAAAAATTAAAACGACATCAGTACGATACTGATCGTTAAAGCAGTCGAATATGCTAGAATCGCGTCCCCGCAGATCCCTTTATTTGGGTTTATTAGCTCCCAATGTTGTGGATACCAATGTTTGTTTAAAATTTTAATTGAATTATTTTATTTGCAACAATAAAATCGATATGGCCCTGAAATAGACTTTTATGATTGTTTCTTAATCAAGAATAATATGTTTTATTCGTTTGTTTGACAGCTGTTGTTGGATTTTTTTTTACAACCATTTCGAGTGAGTCCGCACCACTCATGTCATACCTATTCATTATAAAGTTTAAGTTGACGATGAATTTTAAGGTCAGAGCCTAATGAAAATGGACTTAAGTCCATCTAATTGCATCATTTTCGAAGTTTTAACCCAATCATAATGGAACACCGTTTTTCAGGAATGTTTTATATTATATACATGGGAATTGGTAAAGAAGTAAAGCAGCTGTATCTGTGTTGCTTTCAGTTGAACTTCGTTACGTTTGAAATTTAGGTCATATAATATTAAATCAATGACTATAGTTTTAGTTTGAAATTTCAGTTACTAGTTTCGCTGACACTAGCCACATGAACAACAAAACTAGATAATTGACCAGAAATCAGCTGGAAAATTTTGGACGGTCGATTAAAATACTCATTCGGGGGATTGCTGCCATTCCTTTCAAATGGGAAAATGGTTTTTGTAACATTAAAACGATAAAATGCTCCATAAACCTTGAAAAAATGCTCTTTTACTGCGTAGCTACAGCAAGCGTCTAGGGTAAGCTTCTAAAAGAAGAATCTTATAAAAAAAAACTTTTAAAAGACGCTCATACAAAATATTCTAAAAGAAGCTCATTCTAGACGCTTGCCTGTCGCTCCGCTCAACTGACTAAAAAAAAATAACACAAGCAGGACTGAATAGCGACGCAAAATAGGAGCAATTTTTAAAGGTTTATAGAGCATTTCATGGTTATAATATTACGTTTCTATAGCTGTCATTTTCAAATCACATGTATACAAAAAACTGGTTAAACCATCAAACTTCTAATATCTCACAACTTTCGTGTCAGCCTATGAGACATACGAAGATTTTGTAAACTGAACGAATAGCGATTTTCTTGATGCAAGTCACATGAAAAGTCAGTATCGTCAGTAGGGGTGACATTGATACATCATAGTGGTTTACTACCCATTGTAGCACGGAAACTAAGTCCGATAGCAGTGGGCTCTCTTTTCTGCTTGTCTTGATCAAGCTTAATAACCTCTGATTGTCCTCAACATGTCGCTGTATGAAAGGCCAAAAACGGATTGGGTCGATCGATGGGTAAAATCACCTATACGCATCTACGGGACAGTGAAGAATCTCCTTCCAGCAACATTATCGCACAATTGGTCAAAAAGACGAGCCCCCAAACAGGAAGATGCCCCAATGAGTGGGGAGAAGAGTTCGCGCTTTATCCACGAAATGTTATCAACAGGGAGTTGGCATTCCCACTCTCCCCGTCCGTTGGACCCTCCCTTCCCTTTTATATATGTATTTAAATGTTTATGCTATGTAAATGTTATATCTAATGAATCATCACTTATGCGAGTCGATTGTTATGATTATTGTCAATAATTCTTACATTTCGATGAAGATGATGCTGCCTATTTTACCATTTAAGTGATACTTATCATCACAGAATCCAACTTTGAATCGTAGACCAGGTCCATTAACAATACACTCATTCCGAGAAGGGGCTCATGGTACCACTCATCCTGTATAGTTATCTTCTTCTTCTTCAGATTATCTCACCACCAGAAATGAACGCTCGGAGTGGTTA